CATAACATCCACCCCTGCTGCCCACATATCTAAGACAGGATGTTCTCTGCATTTTTGGAGTCCTCTTGTCCCAGCTCCTTGCTTCAGTTAGGCCAGGCTCCAGTACTTTATAAGAAGGCACAATCCCCATTCCCTTCTCTCAGCCTAAAATACATTCGGTCAGTTGTGCACCATGGAAAAATACTTGCCATCTTAGGTGCAAGGTTTGACAGCATTTCATGTAAATGAAATAAAACACTTTTCATGTAAATATGTACATGTTTTAAGTAAGCTGTGGGAAGTAAAGGCAATAAGGCAATTATGTTCTCTTCATGGCCCCAGACAAAAGGCCATGAAGAAAAGAGCATGAATCTCATAGTCACCTGTATATATCACACTGAATAAACTAAGAGGTATTTAGCTATAAACTTTTGATTCTTTTTTCTGTATAACACATTTGCTGATGTCCACTCAGGCTTATAACCTTCATGCTACTTCTCATCTGTAAGTCGTTTGCACTGTAAATTCTTATCACAGAATGCCCTTATGCATGCAGATGGCACACATCTGCAACCCCAGATTTCTGTACTTTGTATTTTTTTGCATGTCTGTATGCCAGACATTTGCAACAATTACATACTGAGCTAATACATAAATGACTACAGATCACCTCATGAAACCATGAGGGGATGAATACTGCCTGACCATAGATGTAGGATACTCATTTTGTACACCAAATGATGGAGAAATCTTCAAGGTAGCCAGGACCTGAGTTTGCAGGTAGCACAGCAGCAATTAATGAGGAGACTTAATGGCTGGGTCCACAAGCAATGTTTTCTCAAAGCCAAAGCTTCAGTGAATAAACCATGTTTCCTGAATACGATTATACTGTATATGAACTCAAGAATATAGTTGCCCAGTATAGGTAACCAGCAGGTTACCTGATTACTTCAGCAACTCAGCTGAAAAATTGCTCTAATTAAAACCTGCAGGCAGCTAGCATTTGCAGTATTACTTCAATGATGTTCTATAAAGCAACACTAGACAGAAAATTCCCGTCCCATAAGCAGTGTAGGGTCATCAGTATAATCTTTAATGGCAATGAGTCTGTGATTTATTTCTCTTGCCTTTCCAGCAATGTTGTCCACTTCTTGCTGCCAGAAACGGTGAAGGAAGAAGGATTTCAGCAAGAAATTGGTTGTTACAGGACTGAACTAGGTGCTTGAACATAGGTGTTCGGTACTATCTGATATTCTCTAGGGTTGCCTGCCTGGCTTTCCAGGAGGGCACAGCTCTCCTGTGGGTGCTGGGTGTAGCCTGCCAGACCTCTTTTGGGTATCTCAGGTACCCTCAGGCATGTAAAATGGCAGTACATCCTATGCTTAGGCATGGAGCCACTACTTAGATGAGATATTCATTTGATCTTCCCCCCTCTCCCCAGGTATGTCTGCATGTGCATACATACACAGAGCATCTAGGAAATACTGCCAAAATGCTATGTTTTGTACCTTTCCTACCATGTTCAAAGACATCCTCCTAACTTAAGGAGGCCATCTGTGCACTTTCTTTCTTCACTACCCCTTGCTTCCCAAACATGCATGGCCAAGCTAGCCCGTCAGTTATTAACTTTCCCTGCTTCCCACACTGCAGTGCCTGGCATGCAAATTCATTAGCACTTCAGCTGTCTCTGTGGGGATTATGCCCATAGGCAACCAGGCATATGGACGAGACCTTTAAACCAGCAGTACATGGTACATTCTTAGCTACTCTGTCCGCATATTTTTCCCACTGCTCTTACAATACCTCCCCAGAGCTCCTGCTTCTGTGCTTAGCACCAGTGAAGCAACGTGGGTGTCCTCCTCCGGGATGCAGACGTGCTCTTTAGTCTTGCTCCTGCTAAAATCAATTGAGGCTTAGTCCTATGCTTCAGCTGGTATATAGGTAGCCCCTCAGTGTTAACTCATCGATATGGAAAAGATACTTTGACAGAAAAATTTTGAAGGGCTTTCTTGCAAATGAAGGAATAGGGACTCTGATATCAAACAGACTTGTCCTGCCCATGAATATCTTTATTTTCTCTTGCAATGACTTTATCTAAGCCCCTTGATAACTGCATTTGCAAAATGGGCTAAGAACATGGATCAATCTTGCTGGCAAGTATCCCAGTCCCTGTAAGCACACCAAGAAAAACACAGAAGTTGCATCTTGTTAGTCTAATCGTGGAAGTACATTCAAATTTCAAACATTAAACACTGCTTTCTACCATTTAGGTATAATTGCTAATTTTCATCTGTAGAGAGGCATAGAATCAATGTAGCATTTAAAAATATTCTGTCGACTACTGAATACTAACTGACGAGCAGGCTGAAAAATATTACAGTGTCATTGTTTGGAGTCACATATTTGTGAAAAGATGAAAGTTATTATTATTAATAGCTACACTTTCTGAGAACTCCTGTACCTCACTTTTAAAAGGTAGATATTATAATTTGTTTTTAACTCAGAATGAGTTAAAACAATATAAGGACTCCATGTATCACCAAATTCAGTGCTTCCTATAGCCCATGCTCCATCATATAATCCTTTCGCTTGAACTCATGATTATCCTGTCTTAAATTAAGGTATTAACTTGTTTGCACCTGCTGGGTGGCTGTTATGAAGTTGGCCATGAATATGAATAACTGCCAGCTTAAATCTGTTTATTGCCAGTTTTTTGTTCCTGTGCCAAAAGAGTCACTTAAGCAAAATAGCCTTTTCCCATCCCTGCTGTTTACCTTCCAAAATATTTTTAGAGAGCAGTCAGAGCTCTCCTCAAACTTATCTTGGCTAGGCTCACGTTGCCCAACTCTTTCAGTTTCTATTTGTAAGAAAGTCCAGTCTCTCCATCCCTCTGACGGAGATAAGCCGCAGTCCCTTCCCTGTACTTGCTCCTGTATGAAGTCACCTTTCTGGAGTCCAGAACTGCACATGGGTAAGGCTAGCAGTATCTTTTGTAGTGGCACTAGCACTTCCCACACTCTGTAGCAGATACCATGTCTCATATATGCTTGGGACTGCATTTCTCTTTTCATGGACACGCTGCACTGGAAACTTGAAGTCACCTGAGCACAAACAGCTCATATATTCCCTCTCATATAGTTATACAGAAGTTATACACTTCTGATTCTACAGACTTGTTTAAAACCTGTATACCAGGACCTAGGCTTCATGACTTTACAATTTCATAATTCAGAACCAAAGTCTCTGTTTTCCCCTGTTTTGTAAATATTAAACTTCTTTTGTTTCACCGCACTTCTAATGTGATAATTTCCATTTCTGTAGCTTCATGCCCATTTGCAATTTTCCCCTCCCGTTCAGCACAATCACCCTCACTGAAAGCAGAAAAAAATAATTTAATTTAGGGACCTCTCTTAACAGACTTTTCTTCTTCTCTTTTGATGCATATGGCTAAAATTGTGTTTTAATTTTCTTTGCAAGGTTTACCTCAGCCTGGTGATTGGCAAGTCTTGCTTTTCCTCTGTACTGCCTTCTTCCTGTTATTTTTCAAAAACTGCTGTTTTGAAATTGAAAGCCTTATTTACAAGCCCTCTCGGTTTTTTCCTTCCCTTTAATTTACTCAAAGGCAGTGCAAGATCACATAAACCAAGGCTATATCACATAGAAGAGATCTACAGAAAAAACAGGGAAAAACGGATATAGCTATGAGTGGTTACTGTGTAAAAGCACTGTGATGGCTCTTGTAAACTTAAGTTTGCAAGTTATCTCAGCCTAACACAGATATGCCTACAGTGCCAGCAATCATCTTGACAAATTGGTGACTAACTTGGCAGAGGGGTAGGGAAGTCGAATTGCCTCCTGAGCCCTGCATGTGTGCTGTTCAGTTCTGACACGAGGCATCTCTACAGGCATCATCTACCAGAAGGCATCAAAGGGTTTCACCACCACCTGGATGTGACTTACCAGAGTGCAGAGGCCCTGTATACATGGATTTTCAGTCACACAGCTACGTAACCAGAGGCACTATGCTGCAGTGGGCATGCAAGGTACCCAGCTCTGCAAGAGGTCCACGCAGCAGAAGGATCACACCCACAATGCCTCTTCTGCAGAAATAAAGCTGGACAACTTGGCAAGCTTTATGAATGAAATTCTCTCTAAAATATACCCTACTCTAAAGTCTAAACAGCAGTCTTCTAAAGATGAGGGTTTGTGCTCTTTGACTGACATGCTTAGCAGCAATAAATACCTTTGCAATGAAGGAATGCACATTAACCTCTCTCTGGATTGCCACATATACCCCTCTGCAGAGGAGGGGAGCTATTAAAAGCTTGCTGCTTGTTATCCCATTTAACTCCCTCGGATGCAATGTGGTGAAGCTAGCTGATACAACGCAGAGATATGATGACTGCAGATGTCCTCATAAGTAAATTTTCTTTTAGGATCTGATTATGAGCACCTGATATTAGCTCGAAAGGAGAGTCTATGAAGGTGTGTCTGCTAGGTTGCTCTTTAAGGTGCATTTCTTTTCCTTTGCCACCTTTCTCCCCATCCTGATAATTACTGTGCAGAAGAGAGGTGCAGTTTGTCATCCTGTTTTTCCAAATTGATTCAAGAAAACATTGTGCACCATCAGGAATTCCACTTGTCTTTCATAAAAAACTGCTAATTGAGAGCTATTTTATAAAACTCTGTCTGTGCCTATATTTCTCATAAAACAACACCCATCATCCACTTGGACTCGTAATTCTTTCTCCCCTCATTCTTTTAAACTATTACCTCATCTCAAATCATTTTTTGTGTAAACTGAAGCTGACTGATATCCGGACAGCATCACCAACTACTTTTCTGATTAGTTATACTCACACAGTAAGGGTTTTTGAGTTCTTTCTTTAGCAATAACATCCTAGCTCTTCCAGCTACGACACAGCACTAGAAAAGCCTCCCTTCGTGGTTGCTGTCTTAGGTTAAGCTTTCCTGTGCAAAATCAATAAATATGCTTCTGTTTCCCTGTATACTGAACTTACCTGCAAAAGGATCCTATTTCCATCGTGGTCTTCAGTTTGCCACCTGCCTTCACTGATTGGGCTGCAGGAGTTGGGCAAGAGAGGAACAAGCTGTCCAACATCTTTTACTCTGAACTCCAGCACTGCTGACTCAGTCGGGGCTGGAATTTGGCCCTTTGGGAGTTTTTTTAAAGAAAATTGAATGTCTATGTCCATGTTAGAATAGACAGGGAAAACACAAAAGTCTGCTTTTTTCTGACATACCGGTCTTTTCAGGATTAATTCATACAATTTCAAAATGTCAACAAAGTTTTCATTCCTGCAGTATATGGTGAAGCGGATAATTTCTCTTCCATAATGCACTGGGCGAATGGCCCACAGAGGAGTCCCTGGAGCCAAAGTGTAGAAGTCCTGGCTGCATGGCATGTAAGGCAGGAACTTCCCATGCACTCGCTCTGTGTGATGGTAATGCCAAGGTGGCCGCTGAAAGCTTTCATGGAGCTGCAAGATGGGCTCTTCTCCATACTCCTCCTGCAGAAACAGAATGATAGCAAGGGCTGGCTGAGAAACACCAACCTTACCTTGCTTCCTGCGCTTCTGTGATGCTCGTCTCTCTGAGACTCGAAACAGCTGGAGGTCTGGATGGATCCAGGCTAGAAGCTTATCGATGGCTTGCTGGAGAGTCTTAGATTCTCCTGGGTCTGTGATAATATGTACACTAACAAGGAATGGGTCTTGTACATCTTCCACAGAAAGTTCACCTGATAGTATAAAACGAAAAATATCCATTAGAATTTTAAACCTACTAATTTCCTTGACTGTTGTAAAGATTTAGCTGATCTTTAAAGGAGAAAGACTACTCAGTCACACTGAGCTTTGTTTTGCTCTCTCTCAAGCTCACCTACAATAATCTAAAAATAAGTTACAGAGATATAGCAACAAACAAAATAACTAGGAAGACAGAGAAGTTTTATCACGCATACCACAATAGTTATCTACTGAGGCTGCATCCAAAAGAGGTTACCCAAAGTGAATTTCCGTGCTAGAAAACAACTGATAGGTAGGAAAGACAAAAAAATTGATACAGAGTGGGGATGGAAGGGGCACTAATAATGTGCAGAATGATTGGGGTGGATAGCATTCATCTCATCTTGTTTTAATTTGTTGCTATCTGGCTCAGGGCATGGAAATTACACCACTGAACTTCACTCTACCGCCTTGCCATTGGAGTTTTCCACCAGCCTAAGAGTGCTCTGTGTCCTGAAGGCAACTGCTTTAACAAGCAAGGCAAAGTTTGTAGGGAGAGGTAATATCTTTTATTAGACCAACCAATACAGCTAGGAAAAAAAAAACAGACAAGCCTTCAGGCACACAAGCCCTTCTTCAGAAAAAGATATTACCTCTCTATACAAATCTTGCACTGTTTATATCTTTAGACCATCATGACTAAAACAATACCACAGCTTCAAGGATTTTATAAGATCAGGGAAGACTGGTAAAAGCAGGAAGCATAAAAAATTACTCACTCAAGGGAAAAAAGAAATTTCTAGTTATCCTTGGGAATCCTCAAAGGGGCTCTGTATGCCATGGCCCCTAAAATCTCTCTGACAGCTCAGCAGCAGAGCAATGGCTGGTTGGAGGGCAGGGGAGAAACTGTCATTACTGTTCTGCTGGAGCTGCGTGCCAAAAAAGGTACATATAAAAGATCTAAGATGGCTTAATACATCATCCACGTAATCTGGATATTGTTGCTGAAATGGCTCCATTTGGTGCTCTGAAACTACCTACGGGTATGAGACCCAAGCCTGAGCACAAAGCCTAAATGTGTGAAAACTCAGAAAGGCTTCCCAAACTTTTCATTGTGCAGACCACATTTAATAGAGGGATTGTCTCACAGACTGCTTCCCCTCTTATTGGCAATTGTATGAACCTCTCCCTCCTCCCTCCTCGCATCTGAATAACATTCCTGTGATACTTCAGCCACTGCTTTAATGGAAAAGCAATATTATACAAGCAGAGTATTTTAGTTGCCTTTAATGCAGAATAGCCGCAAGACACACAGAGAAGCTAAGTGCAATTGTGTAGCTTTCCAAAGGTGAACAGTGAATATACCACCAGTCTCCATTTCGGTGCTCCTGAAAAACATAGTATGCAGAGCAAATAGAGCACGCATTTTACCTAGAAGAGGTTTAGAAAAACTGAGCAGATAATCAAAAATACAATTACAGCAAAGTTCTTGTATCTCCACATGAAAAGGGTGATGTGGAGTGACTTTGTCACATGGTTAATGGAAAAAACCAAAACTTGAAGCAAAAAAAACTCTGTTAGTATATCATAGGAGGCTCTGCTGTAACACTTGTTACTGGTAGGTAATTTTTAGAGCTATCTCCTGCAGATAGTCACAGTGTGGGAGAAAGTCAAGGGCTGTGTATGGGGGTAGATGGCTCATGGCCCCATGCATGGGGCAGCAGAACAGGAAGGAAAACAAATTGCAGGGTACAGTGATCTAATAAAACTAGAAAGAAAACAATCACCATAGCTACGTAGTCATTCGTTTTCTAAGACTGGTATTGAAGATGTTCAGCTCTCTTCTCCTGCCATTTCCTTTGTCACACAAATGCTATCAAAGCCTGCAACAAGTGACAGGCTTGATATTTATGCATATAAATGACTGCAGCTTTGAAAGAAGCCTGGGCTCAACAATGCAAAGCAAAGAGCCATCATTCCTGTGGGCTACTTGTTTTGCATTGAAAAAAATCCCTGAGCATGGCTTTTCTGCCCTCCTGTTGCTCAGCATGGTGCACAGACACTGAATGGTCTAAAGCATTTTTCAAAAGTGAGGCTTTGGGGGAGCCAGCGCCAGTATTAGTATTCTGTAGTTATCACCGACTGTGCCCATCAGCACCAGACACCAGAATAGCCAGCCCCGGAAGGCCACCAAAGCTCTGCACAAAACCATCATTAGGAGCTAAGGTGATACATACAGCAGAGAAAACTATCCTTTTTTAAACTAGAAGTAACTATGCTGAAGGGGAAAAAGTGTAACAGATCAGTACAGAAAGAGCTTCAGTACCTATTTTATGTTAGCAGAAGTACTTTTCCTGTAAACGGGTGACACTTTTACATCTCTCATTATGTGGCTTCTGTACTTATAGAATGGCAGCCCTTTTCACTTAGAAATGAAAAACAGAAATATAAGAAAAGCAGAAATATGAGACAAGAAGCTGAGAAAAACTTCCCCTGAGCTGGCGATAAGCTGCAAATTGTTTCTATTTTACTAACAAGTCTTTTTGCTTCAACTCGCAGGGGAGGGGGGAAATGGCACCATTTCTCATGACATAGTTCAATTTGCCCTCTGGCAAACTGTCACAGAAGCAAATGAAAGCTCTGCATATGTATTAGCCTTCCTGTGTTACTAGTTAATCCCACAGAAAATATGAAAATGCTGAGGCATCTATTTGAAAATAAGCTCTACAGTTCTCACAGCTATTACAATTTTTTTTTCCTATGACAGAAGGGAATTAGTTCCTTCTGAGCTGGCAAAGCACTGACATTGCTAAGAGGTAAATACCACCAAGATTGAGAGCATTTTATAATTATAAACTTTTTACTCATCTGTTAGCTAGTACTACCGAGCCTGAGAGGCTAAAGCACAGATCTGTTGGCAAACAAGACAGCCCAAATGCTGAGAGGCTGTTACACTTCATGTCCTAAAGCTGCGAGCTGAAGCTGGCCTGCCTACTTTATGATTAGTCTTTATGTGCTATTTTGTTGCTGATGCAATATTTAACTACACACTTTTTAAACTTCCTGAGCAGAGAAAAAAAAGTTCTCTAAAGCAGAACCGTAATCTTGCCCTCCATTCTTCCTCCCCTCCTTTCCCTGCCCAGTATCAGGATTTATTTGTCAAAAAGATATTCTGACAAAAAGCAGTGGGTGCTGTCAAGTTGGTCTGTGCTAGCTGCTTCTTTTGGATACTACTTCAGTGCAATTCTAGTTGCCTTGTCTTGGGGATGGCCATGACAGGGAGCGGTCTGTCTAGACTAATTGTCTTCATTCCTTTCTTGCTCAGTACATGGAGAGAGGCTGCTGCTGCCTCTGAAAAAATCTGCAGAGGTTGATCCTGCCTGCCTAATTTCTTTCTTCTCCCCTCCCTCTCTGTCGAGAGGGGAGATGCCTCCACAGAAAGAGCCTCTCTCTCACGTCCAGCGACTGCCTAGTCCACCTCAACAAGACGTGCCTAGTGGGATGGTGGTGGGAGCAGTGGTGATTTAGTGACACCAACACCCAAGCACAAAGTGGGAAGGAGTTAAGTGCTCTGCTTCCTTTGGAGGGCAGTATGTTATAAAGCTCAGCCTCTGTGGTATCTGGGTAACACCACTTTTCTTGAACCCGGCCAGGAATGCAGGATTCCTCATGCCGAAGGAAGCACAAGAAAGCATAATTTTAGGTCAGCAGCTAGTAGCTAGGCTCAGCTGGAAGTAGGCAGGACTGCAGTTGCTTCCCCTTCTCCCTGGGAATTTTATACATTAGACCACACCAGAGGCAAAATGTCCACAGAAGAGCAGATGTTTCCCCCCGCAGGATCAGAGAACTGTTCCTCTTGCATCTGCCTTTTGGCGTCAGGACCCTTGCATACCTGGCTCCACCAGGTGGAGAAGGGTTACCGCAGTTATCAGGCCGTGGCCTGGCAGTCTGGTCTCTCTTTTACAATGCGGGAGGCATAGATACACTCCCACCAAAGCTGTCATCCATGAACAGCCCATGGCCCTTCCTTTCTTGGAGGAGTGCTACAAGCACTCTTCTATTTCAGAAAAAATCATCCCCATTACTGGAAGTCTTAATGACATCTCATTTTCCAGGCTTCTCCAGTGGACTTAGCAGGAGTTGGCTGTCTGCCTAAATTCAGACCATAGGAGAGCTTAGGTAGGAGATAAGCACTCGTCTCCCTAAAACATCTTTCCTAAACTTCTGTTGGTGAATCAAAATATAGACCCAAAGATCCCTCAGACTCACCAGGGAGAGGCTTAATGAACTGAGTTACCTACAGGGTTAGGCAAACCTGGAAAGTATGTGAGTTAGGATGTAGTCTGAGGCAGAGACAGATTTTAGACACATTGGATCCCAAACCCAGTTTCTGCATGGGAAAATGCATTTGCAAACTGTTAGATAATTTCAGATTTCCAGGCACCTACATTTTCAATTTTCTTATCACGGAAACTGAGAAAAAATATTCATCCTACAAATATTTGACATAAATCATTTCTTGAGCTGGCCTACAACATTGCATTGTGAACACTAGCGCTCTAACTTGCATTTTCCTGATGTGGCATGCTGTTTGAGAACCAGAGTCTGAACTTCTCTGCTCCCCTACATACTGAACTGCCTTATTGCTACACGAGGCAGCAAGATTTCAAATTTCATTCTAACCAAATTGTGCAACACTTTACAAGGGATGTAAACCAGGAAGGGACAGAGGATCAGAATGAGCACGTTAAGCTCCTGAGTTACAGCTCCCACCAGGCAGTGCATGGTTATCAGGAAACAATAAAATAATTCAAAACAAATCATTACAGATCATTAGAAGATATTTTGTTTATTGTTAACAAATAGAAACATTTCAATTGTGGGAATCAGAAGAATTTTAATTGTAATAATAATGTCAGAACAAAACATACTATTTCCTAATTGATACTTCTCAAGATTTCTGTTGCACAGGGAATTTCAGTATTTCCCTATTTTAATTCCATTCAGAAACATA